GTTGACTCTTAACTTTTATAAAGAATATCTCTTTGGATTTGAGACTTTAGTCTTTGCAACTTTACAGATCTTCTTTATGCACCAAGAGCTTGTAACACTCCAAAGAGAAAGGAATAATTGAAATCGCATCATATGACCCCTTTAATGGTGACTCCCCTATCTGTTCTGTCTCAGGTCTATGGGCCCGCTGGACCTCCAGGACCTGCAGGGCCAGTTGGGCCAATGGTGAGGACATAAAAGCTTATGATAACAGCAGACATATTACAAGCATATCTGTGCACCTAAGTAGCATCATTGCATTTTTTCCCTTTGATGGTGCATTTATGAAGAGGAACTAATTTTAAACAACTCTAAATGTTTGAGTTTTGATTTAATTATTTTTCACTTATCAGGGACCTCCAGGTTTGTCAGGACCAAAGGTAAGTATTCCAACCTAAGCCCCTTTTAGTCCATAGTTATTAATGTAAAATGAACTGTTATTTTACTTCTGCCATATGCTAAACAAGGCATTAAATTACATATGTTCTTTTCAGGGAGAACCAGGAATAGGCCTGAGAGGAGAGAAGGGATCACCTGGACAGAAAGGAGAGAAAGGAGACAGGGGCCATCTTGGACTCCCTGTAAGTACATTTCTGATTCTTATAATCCAGTGTTTGATACTTGATAAATGTGCATTGCATTTACAGTCAGTAAGATAAAAAGCTGTCGATTGATCAAATCACTCATTATGAAAAATAAATTGAGTACTTCACACCTGTCATACCAGTGCATAATTAATCTGATCGTTTTCATACAATCTTGTCAAGTGAATCAAGATGTTTTTTTTTTGTCTTTCCTGAGTGCAGCGTTAGTGGAAAAGCATGTTTTGTGTAAGGTTTGTGCTCTAGCCCCCCTTAATGCAAATATCAATGTGCTGCTATTTCATGTGTCTTTGTAACTGTCATGGTTCATGGCTAAGTGTTGTCACATTGCATGAATCAGTGGATGTCCACATTTGGCAATCATATATACAAGTGTTATTATGTAATGACCCTGTCACTTTGTTTTATACACATTTTAATAGATTACCAACAAATTCCTGACGGTTTCAGATTACTGTAACTGACTAAAGTTCATGTTATTATTACAAAATACTGTATGTGGTTGTTTATAATCTTTTTTTCTCTCTGCTCTGTAAATAGCATGCTATAGGTTTTGTTACTATGAATTTCAGGGGTCTTTTGCTGACTTCTGGTGTATATCTATGGTGTCAAAGTCATTGATAAACTTATTCTAGTCACATCATCAATGGCACAGTAACTCCTTTTTAAAAAAAATCTGAGATTTAGAAACTGAGAAATCAAAGTTTTCTTAAGCAGTATTTTTGTCTGGTTTTTTGTCTGGGATTTTTTCTTATTTTAAGCATAAATCTCACAACATTGTGTTAGATATATGCTTAAAGCAAAAACTATTTGACAATGGGGTAAGAAAAACAGTGCATTATGTAATTTTAAGTAAATTTCAAGCAAAATTAAATGTTTGATTTTTACTGAAAACAAGATTAAAATACTGTTTAAGAAAATGCAGCATGGATGGGTAATGTTACCCTGACAGTGTGCTCGGTTCCATAACCTAGTGTGCTGCCTACCGAGATATAATTTTAAGGCATTGTATGTGCACTTCTGACACAAACGCTGGATGTTTTGTTAGCTTAGCAACATGCTATCATCAAACTTAACTTAGCGACATGCTAAATCAAATCTCCTGTGCACTTATCATGAGGAGTGCTATTTGCACTTCCTATGAATAGTGTTCCAATTCAGTCTTTTACGAGGTTGCGTTTCAGTTAGCATGCAGCCTTAGAAGGCAGCAGATGGCAATGTAGCTCACTAGGTTTTGGAACCAAACAACTACTTACAAGCATAGGCGTAATTTGCGGGTGGGACGGGTGGGACATGTCCCCACCACTTTTTGCCAGGGCACTTTTCGTTATGTCATTAGGCTATAGCATTTTATTTTAAAAATGAAAAGCTTCCTTGTGCTAAGTAGGCCTGCCCTCTACTAAAGATTTTTCTAGCCAACTAGTCGCACGTAATATTAAATTGATTAATATAATAATATATTAA